TTGTCAATAAGGAGCACATAGACAAATGAATAAAATGTGATTCATAACTGAAATAAATTAGAGGATAGTCAATAAAAAGCGATCACCTCTTAAATACCCCTTCATTCAACGAAGATGGCATGCAATTGAAATCTCTTTCTCACAAATAGCTATTTCTTCCCTTGTTTTAGTTTAATTAGGCTAGTAAGTTTAGGAAGTCAAACTCATAGTTAAGTGAGAGGATTTATTGACTGTATTTACATTGATCTTCGATTATAATTTTTTATCAATAAAATCTTTTGATCCAATTTTTACCGTCAACAAACACACTCTCAATGATTACCAATCCAAACTTGTATTTGTCCTTGTGTGAGTTGGAAATCGTAAATTTATCCTTCAAATTTTGAAACAGAAATACGTTCGTGATATTAAAAGTGTTCCCTTCCTAAAACGATACTTTGAAAGAAATAAAAGAAAATTGGTGAAAAATGACGAATTCCATAATTTGATGATCAAATTGCAAAAATTCAATAGTGGATTTGGACCACAAAATGATAATTTGAAAATTGTTAGGAGACAATTGGATGCAACTAGAAGTCAAAAATGAATGAAATATAATCAAAATATTATCACAAATCAATTTATATTCCAGATTTTTAGTTAAAGATTGAGACACATTTTTGGCATATTAAATGCCCGAATTGAAAAAAATTCTATTTCTAGCAAAATTGTATTCCTTTAAGTTAGCGCACTTTGAATTGCCTCAATCGAATATCGAAATAGAAAGTTATGACCAAAATATTGACTGTTGTATAGAGACAAACACGCGTGAGCGAATGCAACTTTCCTTATTCGATTAGAACTCTTTTGGAAACCAATTTTGACTTGATTTTCAATTAATTTTCGACTCCTACAGATACCTAACAGCAGAATCCATTAGAAACACTTCTCTTATACATCTCATACTAGAATATTCCATCAATTTTCATCTCAAAAGGGGGTCAAAATCATATATTGTGATAAGATTTCAAAGGCGAAGTTCAAGAACTCATTAATTGGAGATTAAAGATAGGATTTGTAGACAAAGAAGCGAACAAATTATTGAAAATTTATCGAGATTATTTTTAAAAAATTCAAGAACATCAAGATTCATCTTCCTTAATTCATTAATTTAAAACTTCGGGATGATGTTCTATACATTTAACATGATTTCTTGTAATACCAATATATTAGGCTAGTTTTATACATTGCTAGAATGAACTATGATATTTTTAGCTTTTAATTAATTATTTTGATTTTAATTTGATTTGATTTGTGGATATTTATTTCATTTTTATCGTTATTTTCAATTGTTTGATCATCAATTGAATTTTTAGTTGATTTTATTTTATCGAGAGAAATAATAAGATTTAAATACAATATAATAAACATTATAAGGTTCGATAAATGATAAAGATATACCTATATGCTTTTTATGATTTCAATAAGTGTTCTAGTACTTATTAATACATTTATCATATTTGCATC